TCCATAACAACAAGATTCGATTTCTCAGAGGTGGCTTTGAAGATTCGCGATGAATCAGAAGTGAATGAGTGATGAGAGGTGGGTTTTGTGTATCAATCAGGATATAAATAAGTATTTCATATGGTTAGTTGGCGGGTCTATTAGAAATTGCACGCGGTGTGATTTCTTTGGCGAATTAAGTCGCAGGGCCCACTGCTTTTTCCTTGCAGTTTCCTTTTTAAATGTTATATTGTTCAACACGCCGAAACGAAAATTCTTTTAGGCTTTGTATTTTGGTTGAAACTTCAATCTCATTGATCAAAATCTTCTAGAATTGAGTTTTCAAAGAATACATCGGAGCATTTTGGTTGATAATTGTGCGGGGTTAAAAATTATTCTATTTTCGTGTAATTTTCTTTTTTGCTTTAAGCGTATTTGGATAAGTGCAAAAAGAATTAAAAATTATTTTTATTTTATGTACATTTGTATGCTTTCACCTTGCATGGAGTCATCATCACCTCCAAGTGGTTCGAGCTTAGCTTGGCGCTTCAAAGGCCTAGGTGACGTTCTAAAGACCTCTCGTCCGAACATTTGATGAAAATTTGTTGTTCAAAACAATAAACATGCGTGTAATGGAATGAACGAGATTGGAACAAAAAAGTGAACTGGTGGCAGTCAATTAAGCCCATGCGACCGCATGGCCTATTACCGAAACTGCAGGCCCTGTGCTGGCTAAACCATGCGGTCGAATGGTAGTTAAATCCAACCGTAAGATAATTTTTTCGGCGATTTTTCGGTTGGTTTTTTGGTGGCTTTTCATTTGTTTTGGCACCACTTCGTATAGCCTCGTTTTGTGAATATATATAGGGGGTTTTTGATCATAAGACTTTAATGGAAAAACACTTGAATATATTATGATCATGCTCTTAATTTCACAATAGAAGACTAAATGCTTCTTCTTCCATATTCAATTCCCCTGTGTTCTTCAAGTTCGGGTGGAGAAATGCTCATGCTTTTGTGTTTCTCTACATCAAGGCTTCATTAATCCTACAAACTGCTTGCCGCGAGACCCTTTAAGTACCAAAATTGTTATTGAGAGGGGGCAAATATCGTTTGAGGACAACGATATAATGTCGTATTTAAACATTCATTTTTATCATTTTTTTATTCATCTTCATCTTCTTGATATTATCTATCTTGGTTCTTCTCCATTTCCCCGATTGATGTAAATTTCCCAACAAACTCAAACGATATTTTGATGGAGAATGAAACTTCTATGACGACAATCAAGTGGATGGATCGAGACTTTGTTGATGGCACTAACTTCAAGAGATGGTTCGATTTGTAGAAAGACATGAATCCAGATTCTCATATATGAATTTAGTAAATTATCATTTCGCCTCTCCAAATTCGGTAAGTCAAAATTGCATTTCAATTTCAAGCATGCATGCGACATGTTTTGTGAATATAATATATGCACAACAGCAGTATTATAACAATCTTAAGATGAAGTGTGGTGTATCTTATGTATTATTTGTCATATAGAATTTGGATAATTTTTATTATCACATATAATAATGAAGTTACTAGAATTTTACATGCAAATCAGAGAAGGAGAACACTGTATATTCATCTTTTTCAATCTGAAATGCAGACCGTCATGTTCTTTTGTGACAAATAACTGCCTCAAATTTTGTTTGCGGTTTTATATTTGCTTGATTTGCCGCCAATGGAAAGGAAACCATTTGATTTGCACTACTTTATGGGAAATTGTTTATTAGATATAAACCATGAGAATTTGATTATGCATTAATTAATAGTTGCATGTGCGAAATCTGGAAAAGGCCAAAACAACAGCCAATTTTTATTTATATTTATATTTATTATTTATTATTTATTATTATTATTATTATTATTATTATTATTATTATTATTATTATTATTATTATTATTATTATTATTATTATTATTATTATTATTATTATTATTATTATTATTATTATTATTATTATTATTATTATTATTATTATTATTATTATTATTATTATTATTATTATTATTATTATTATTATTATTATTATTATTATTATTATTATTATTATTATTATTATTATTATTTGGTTCTATGGTGCATTTCACTTATATAACATTGATTGATATAATTTGTCTGAAAATGTTTGTTCATACCCGTTGGAAATGGGAATTAAATATAAATAAATGTTTCTCTTTATTAATCCATATGTTTTACACGGATGTACTTACATAAAAAACGTGGTATTGAGAGGAATAATCGGTGTTCCTTAAGATTGTTTATCCATGTTGGATTTGATGTCTAATTCGATGACGGAAATTATTTGCCATGAAAATAATTTCTATTGGAAAGCCTTAATTATCTATTTTGCATCTCTATTGGTTGAAAATTGTATTACTTTATGAAGAAAATATAAAAATTATTATTCATATGAGGAGGCATGTTTGGGGTTCGCCATATTGTTGGATGTAGTTTTATATCTTGATTGAAATTATATTAACTTTGGTTAATGATAATAGCCTCAATTAATTTGATGAAATTAATTGAGATGATCTATGCAATATTATATTTGCATAAGGAATGACAAATTGTGTTCTAGTGGAAATTGCTTGCAAAATTATTAAGACGTGGAAATACTTTGTAGAGCACAAACTGTGCCTAAAGTTGGACATTCATTCAAATTTGGAAAAGTTTGAATGTGGTAAATAAGTTGGTTGAATTTTCATATTTGGTTGAATTGATTGCTTCAATTAATTTGCCTAAATTAATTCTATCCAATTAAGTGAGATTGCATATGAACGCGACAAAATGTGATTTTGTCCAAATATAAATAAGGTGCTTATCATATAAGGTGATATGATGCTATCTTGTGAAGGTCACGAAAGTGATAAATTGCATACTATTGGAGACTAATATGTTTAGTCTTGTTCGTTGTTGAATCGGACTTTAGTCGAGGAATCAATTGAGTTCGTTTGTGCTTGAAAGGCATTAACAGTCTATGAGATGACCTTGTTCAGATATGTGATCAAATTGAAGATAGTCGATTTGAAGTATACCGTGACTTAACAACCACTATCAGAAAGTACTGAAACTTTCACGAACTTTATCACAAGTGATAAATGAATTGAACTATAAAAGAATTGATGAACTCTAAATATAATCCCAAATGTGGGGGCTATTATGTTGATAAGCTCTAAAATAATCCAAAATGTGGGGGTTAACATTAAATGCTAGTGAGCTTATATGAGAAGTTTAAAATTTGTGGATGCGATACTAATATATTGCATAAGAATTCATAATTAAGGAATTGTAGGGGTAATTTAATATAAAAGTTAAAGTTCCATAAGCCTTTTAATCATAGAAATATATCTATGAAAGAAAAAATGTGAAAAACCCTTATATATAATTATAAGGATGGATACACTAAGTCTAAGGTGGATAAATTGAGTGAAAGCCGATTATGACGTTTGCAAAACAATTTGAATATTTAAAGAGTATTCATGCTATTTAAAATCATTGTAATGACTCAATGATGAGAAGTGAATACCCACGAATGAAATCCACAAAAGTAATTGATTAAGTTTAATGATTTAACAAAAATATTTCAACTGTGTTTAAAATCTATAAAGCTTTAAATAAAGCGAGTGAGAAGCATGTGGCTTCATAAAAGATCTCTTGACAGTAACAAGTTGTATCTATCCAATGAATCGTTGGCTAGCTATGTTTGATAAGATACTAAGTCACATATAATGGAAGTCTAAACATATAAGTTTTAGATGTAACTTGATAAGAAAATTATTAAAGATGGAATAATTTTCATAACGACATAGCGGATACTTTTAAACCACTAAATAGAGTTTTAGTGGCATCTACTTCGACTAGGATGGGGTTGAAACTCCTAAACTATAAAGGTCCACCAATGACGGCAACCCTACCCGTCCTTACTCAATTGGTAATCAACGAGTTTAAAGGGTAACAACAAGTCATTCGATATGTGGATAGTTTCAGCATTATAAAAATTCGCAATAATCCTATCCTAAATTGAAATAATGTTGGTTGTTACTAAATGAGGGTTGATCTTTAAGCTCTTAATGAATTTCAGTACTAAAATACAAGAATTTCTAAAAGGAACAAAGGTACTGGAAGAACTTCACCTAAACAAACTTCGAGGTGGTACCGCCTCAATAGAGAGTTAGAGTTTTTCTCTTAAAAGTTTGTTGAAAATGATAAGCGCAAGACCATACGAGCATTAAGCGAGATTGAGGAACTTGAGAACATGTAATGCTCGTGTGTGTGTGTGTGTGTCCTTATCAGTATTGTCACATGGAATAACTGGTTCAAAACTTCACGCTACCTTTGATTCCGACTTTACTTTGTTTGGATTACATTATGGTTAGATTCAAATCGAAAGATATATAATCCTGAAACATGAGTTTTGTATATTTTGAATATGAGAGTTTATTGAATTTTGAACAAGTAGAGGATTGATGAAAATTTGTTGTTCAAAACAATAAACATGTGTGGAATGAAATGGACGAGATTGGAACAAAAAAGTGGATCGGTGGCAACCAATTAAGCCCATGCGACCGCGTGGCCTATTACCAAAACTGCAGGCCCTTTGTTGACATGAACCATGCGACCGCATGGTGTTAAACCATGCGATCGCATGGTAGTTAAATCCGACCGTTAGATCATTTTTTCGACGATTTTTCGATTGGTTTTTCGGCGGCTTTTCATTTATTTTGGCACCACTTCGTATGACCTCGTTTCGTGACTATATATAGGTGGTTTTTGATCATAAGATTTTAATGGAAAAACACTTGAATATATTATGATCATTCCGTTAATTCCACAATAGAAGGACAAATGCTTCTTCTTCCATATTCAATTCTCCTTATGTTCTTCAAGTTCGGATGGAGAAATGCTTGTGCTTTTGTATTTCTCTACATCAAGGCTTTATTAATCCTACAAACTATTTGCCGCGGACCCTTTAAGCACCGAAATTGTTATCGGGAGGGGGTAAATATCGTTTGAGGACAACGATATAATGTTGTGTTTAAGCCTTCATTTTAATCATATTTTTTTTATTCATCTTCATCTTCTTGATATTATCTATCTTACTTCTTCTCCATTTCCCTGATTGATGTAAATTTTCCAACATCTTAAGAGGCTCAGATATCTAGATAAGAAGCATGCAAGTTGACAAACATGGGATAGCGTATTCTTCTACAAATATCTAATGGTAAACAATGGTCATCAACTAAGCTCCTTAAATAGACATGTATTAGGCAATATAATCTTGTGTCACTAACTTCATGGGGAGAGATGAATGACCGAATAGGACGAGGCAAGAAGGACAGCTGCCAATGTAAGTGTGTATGCACATAAATATAGTTATTAAAATCGGATCGAATCGGGAACCGTCGAACCGGATTGTGGTCCGATCCGAGTTTATTAGTTAGGCTACGTTTGGTACCCATTTTTTTAAAATGCAATTTTCTCTCTCTTTTCTTTTCAACTACACATTCTTTATTAAAATAATATTACACGTAAATCAATTTTTTTCTTATTTTTTAACCACACATTTTTCATTAATTTATTATTCTAAGATGCATTTGTAAATAAAAATGGGTTTCAAATACCCTCTTAGTCAAATAAACAAATGAACCGGTCAAGAACCGGTTGAACCACTCAAAATCCACCCGAACCGAATGAGTTTAAGAGGTATCAGATCTGGTTCACACATTGAACCGGCTGGTCACCAAAGTAAATCGTATTTTTTTTTTTAATCAAATTGCAAAGAAGCTATTTCGAACCCTGGTCTTTTCCTTGGAATGTACCATTTTGGAGTACGCCCACCTTTAGTCCATAATGTGTATCAAATATATATATTTCAATTTACAAAATACAATGTGAAATTCATTTTTTCCAATTTGAAAATTGGATGATTCGAACCTTGGTTTCCTACATGAGAATTTAGGTCCCCATCTAGGAAGCTGGTGAAACTACTTGTAGCATGCAAGCCATTTATATATCTAGAATTAGCTTTTTTTTTTTTCTAAATATATTTTAATTAAAATTATGATCTAACATTGACCCACTGCTTCAACCACCAATCCGATGACTTTTTCGGGTCGACCATCGGATCGAGTCTAATAACTATGACATGAAGTGTCTCATATCTTATTGATTGTTCATTTTTGGTAAGTGACAGGAAGAAGGTCGAAATGCTTCCTAACCAATTTGCACTCTATAAATATACCCTCATAAATACTTCAAGCTAGATACACCCTGTAAAAATTATGTCAATTTGTCTTCTCGGACTACAATCATTTCACCAACTCCTAATGCGAAGGAGTTGATAGATATGATATGGGGCTTTACTGATTTTGAGGTCGGAGACATTTTTGTTGTTCACATAGTGGTTTGATTTTAGTCTTAAATTTAAAATTATTTACTTTGAGAATATGACCATTTATTTCCAGCTCCATGACAAGAGCCAACATGGACTTAACAAATAGTTTGGTCCATTTCCTTGGATTTTGTCGGGGGAAAATACATAACTACAATATTTAAGTATATGGTTTCCCATTTAACAAACTTTAAAAAATATTTCAAAAATCAGGTAATAAATTACAGTAATATATTACATATATTTATAACATATTATTATGTATAAAATTTAGGAAAACCAATTCCACCAAATTCTCCCACTTCACGAATTCTCTCTCTTTACAAATGTCCCAATCCACCATACCCACTCCCATCAACCATAATTCCGTGTTGATAAGAGGTTAGAGGAGGGATTTCAGTGCTGTGGATCTTTGGGCGGCAACGGTGGAGATAGTGTTGAAGGTGAGGACTGAATGGAAGAACGGAAGACCCAATCTTAATCGTTTTGCCATTGTCATTGCTCAAAATCTAGGGTTTTAATTTCTTTCGTTTTCCCGTATACCATTTTTCTTTCTTTAGCTATAGAGTGAGAGAGACAAATTGTGACTGTCGACCTTGCCGAAGGGATTTTTCGATAAGTGTGATGACCGTGCCTTTTTTGGATAAGAAGTAAGCGATGCAAATCCAATGACTCCGCCACCGCAAACCTCTACTTGTTAAGGTGAATTTGGGGTGTAATGAGAGATGATGCGGACAAGGAGCAACAAATTGAAACTAATTTGGGAGATAATTTGTGAAATTGCTGTGGGAATTGAAAATGAGCCAAACGGTGAAGCTATGGTGACGTTGTAATTAGCATTTTACCGGGTTGTTGGTTTTAGCAATGGAGCACATGAACTGTGTAGTCACTCCTTTCTCTCTCTTTTTTTTCTTCCTTTCCCATTTTTGTTCTCTATTCTCTGCTACCCATTCTGAGCCTGTACCAAATGGACGAAATGGTTCTAAGTGGATGCTGCATATTAGAGCACTAACTCCAATTTTGCCAAGGAAGCCCCTCATTTTCTATTCTATAAAACATTTGGTCAATAACTTTCAATAATAAATAAGTAAATCCTCAAATTTCTATCTTATGGTAAAGGATTAGCAAGTGATACTCTAAACTTAAAATGGAAGGGAATTGTGTGATGTATGACTAATAGAAATAGTATGATTTTTGACAAGGAAAATTAGTGAACATCATTGATTAATTGTATAATTTGTAATTAATAAATATGATCATGTTTATCGTAATAAATAATTATGTGATTATTATGTCTTAAATTTGATCTTTATATGATTAGGTATCTTATAACATTAGATATTTGTAACTAGGTATGTGTAATTTGTTATTATTTGTAATCAAGTTTGTGTAAGTTATTATGTTTGTGACTAGATATGTGTAAACTATTATTGCTTGTGATCAATGTTGTTTTCAGTGTGACTGTCTGTAATCAGGTTTATCTTAACTTTGATTGTATGTGACCAGGTATTTTTTAAATGTGCTGCCTGTGACCAGGTTTATCTTAACTTTGATTGTATGTGACCTAGTAATTCTTAAATGTGATTGTCCGTGACTTGATCTTTCTTATATATAGCTATTTATGATATGATCTATCTTAACTTTGACTATATGTGACAGCGTCTTCTTGACGATGACTGTATGTAACTATGCTTGTGTTAACATTGTTTTGTGATATGAAATATGGACAATGACTTTTGTGTGACCAATTTTTTTGTTAATTGCAACTACTTGTGACCTTCTATGTAATTACAATGACTCTCTGTAATCAAGTTTTTGTTATTTTTAATTATCCGTGACAAAGTATTTTTTTCATCGTGAATGTTCGTGACTTGTAATACGTTCATCATTATATGTTATCTGACTATGACCAATAGTTCTTTGATTGCAATTTATATTACTCAGAGACCTATTTTAGGCTATAACATATTTACAGGTCACAAATTAATTGGTCACAAATCACAAATTTCATAGATCACAATTTATCTCACAATCACAAAATATAAAATTAATCAGTTAAAGTTATTTCTCGACTATGATTTATCGAATTAATTGATCACGACTTATTTTTTAATCACAAATTTTACATATCACAACTTTTTACCAGTTACGAAGAAACAAATTGCAGGTCACAAATACAAATGCAGTTATAAATTACATGTTTTTAGGTTACAATATTTATTGGTCACAATTTATTCATTTTATTGGTCCAAAATTACTCAATAGTTGGTTACAGTCTCTCTTCAAACCACCCATACCATTCCACTACCACCGTCACCACCAAAGAACATTGATATCATTTAAAGTTATACCAATTTTATTCTGCCCAAAATAATAAAAAATAATAATAGGCATAAAAATCGAGTAAAATGTAATTTCTAAACTAAATACAGTCAATTTTATGTTGATCACCGTATAATTAATTGACTCAAATTTATTCATAGAGAATTCCCATCATCTCTCACAATTCAAGCCCGCCCCCAATTCATGCCTGCCAAATCACTAAAATTCATTCCATTTACAATTGTAGCCATTGCACCAGCAACAGTAATGACATCTTGTTACTTCATTTTGCAGTGCAGTGTGAGAGTTTGTCTGAACCATTCTTCACATGCTTCTCCTCAAACTTTAAAGGAAATTAGGGATTATAAATTCAAGTTCATTATTATGTAAAAAGACACAGTCAAATAGTAATTCAATCTACCAATTTTGTTGCAATTCGAAAAAAAAATCAATGATAAGCCAACTGATTTCTTAATCCAGACTATGAGCACTCCCAATGGTGAATCTGGATGGGAAGAAGTAGATGATGAATCGCCTCCACTTCGACTAGATATACCGTTGGATCTTGTAGGAGCAATGGCACTCATGACTTGTTAGTGCCCAAGGGATGAGTGGAAAGGGTTGGAAGAGTATTCGAAACAAGGCTGTTAGATATAGAGAGAAAGATATAGACAGAAATTGAGATGATATTGTGTTTAATATCCATTAGGCTAGGTGGGTTTTCACCGAGTAAATTGCTAAACCATCATTAAAATATATTTTTATATAAATAAAAATATAATTAACACCTGATTTTTGAATAAAATTTGTAAAAACCTGATTTATGATAATGTAATCTTAAACCCATGTTTCCCGGTAATTTTCTCTTTTGTCGGCTCGGTGGTGAGAGCCCAATAGCCCAATTTAGGAATTATATTCACCACCAAAAATATGCGACGACCATAATTGCTAGAGGCCTTATCTTATTTAAGATTTTAAGTTTGAACCAAATTACTTAAAGAAAGAAAATTGACGAGTGCAATGTCATAAAATGGGTAAAATATTAAGCTCTATAGATTAAAATTAGATTTTCATAGATTTTGATAAAAGTTGATCAAAGTGTGAGTTGTGGGTTCAATAAAATGTGTGATTGAAATTAAATGTTCATTTTGAATTGATATTTTAATTTCATTTTAATCTCCACCGAATAGGAGTTGAGTTTGAAAATGTGAATTATATAGTGCTCCTAATGATGTGCTTGCTCATCACATATTGGGCACATGGTCCTTAGGGTAATACACTCGAGGAGTGGCAATTTTCAACCTCGTGATCTGGTCAGTAGTGTCCTCGGGCATCCTTTTGATATACGGGGTTCATGCGTCCTCGAACTATTCCCTTTATACCAAACTCCCATTTTATCAAGCCCATAAGAAGTCCTACCTTCTAAGGACTTTAATATGATTCAAACACCTCAACTCAGGACTCCTATGTCCACAAGAACTCTATGTCAACAATAACATCATTGGTCATGCAATTATATTACAAATAAAATACTCCTCGAGTAGTCATCGCATTTAACCTTTTTGTTTGTTAGTTATCCTAAGAACAGATGCATGATAGTATTAAGGTCTTATAGACTTTTAAATTGTGTATGAACATGAACAAATTATGTGCAACTTATAATTTTAAAGAAGAAGACTTCTATAAAGTTTGGCATCATGAGAACATCTAACTAATTCAATCCTACTAGGAGTACACTACCTACCTCTATAAATACATGACCCATGTCCATTATTCAGGTACGCTTTTACATGCAATTTCAGCATATATCCTCATATATATTTCCCTTATGACTTAAGCATCGGAGGGGTGATGAAGACACACCTCATTGTCTTTGTTGCAGGTACCGAAAGACCTTGTTCGTGCCCTTTCTCTTTCTTCATGCTCGAGAGATTTACCAGGTACGATTTTTGGTAGTATCAGTAATACCGTCTGTGGGAACCACTACCAAAAGTCATGGTGAATATACGATCAGGTCTTCCTCCAGCAAACTCATCCATTCCAAACCATCCTCCTGCTGAAGATCCTCCGACTTCTCAAAAAGAATAAACAGAACTACCAATACCCCAACCAACAGTTGTTACCACTAGAGCATTCAAGGAACATCGTCAACAACTTTTCAGCTTGACTCAACTACTGAACCCAAGCACCACACCTACACTTCCGACCCCCGCACCAGAAAGCATATTTATGGCCGATGCTTGAGCTCGAGGTTCCGTTCTTATTGTTCATGCTGTTGGGACCTCGGGCATATAGCCCATGCCCCCGGCCTCAAGGTTGGTCACTTGAACATCGTGGAAGGCTAGTCCACGTGGAAGTACTAGTATAGCTCGAGCTCTAGCCTAAAAGAAAAGCTACCCGTGGAATGACCACAACCTAAAGCTTTATTGCAAGTAGCTATCCCAGACCCCAAGTATGTAGATTGCTTAATATGTGTCCTTTTAGCCTTGTGTGCCCTTAAGCAGTTTATTTTTATAATTCATGCCAAGTTGTCCTTGAGCACTTAATATATTATGATATAGCAATTTTCTTTTAACTATTGTTTTTTCTTGTAGACATACATTTAGTATCAAAATCCCTGTCACGAGCAGGCACCATCAAAGGCTCTTCATGAGCAGGCACTAAAGCTATGCCCTGCCACTATCAAAAGCCCTGTCATGCGTAGGCACTAATGCCCTGTCACGAGTAGACACCAAAGCCTTGCCCCGCACAAGCATCAAAAGTCCTGTCACACACAGGCACCAAAGTCTTGTCACGAGCAGGCACCAAAGCCTTGTACCCCGTAAGCACTCAAAACCTTGCCCCTCGCAAGCATTCGAAGACTTGCACATCGTAGGGACTCTGAGCCTTCCCCTGTGCAAGCATCTCAAAGCCTTGCCCTCGTGCTAGCTTCTCAAAGCCTTGCTCCAAGCAATCACTCTAAGCCTTGACCTAGCAAGCACATCAAAACCTTGCCCTGAGCAAGAACGACAAGCCTTACCCTACACAGGTACTCTAAGCCTTGCCACGGGTAAGCACATGCAAGTCCTACAATGCATCAAGTAAAAGACTCGACCATGAGTTTATACCGAGCTTGTCAGGCTCAACCTATTCTCAAATCCATGGGAATAGAGCTCGGGATATCATTTCACGTTGCATTTGGGGGCCTGCCCTCGAGCTCAATCCATTGTCAAACCCTAACCACAAGAGCTCAGGATAAGTCTCTCACATTGGCTCGAGACTATCCTCGAGCTCAATACACTGTCTAATCCTAGACGCAAGGGCTCGGGATAATTATCACACATTGAGATCGGGCTATGTCTCCTATATGAACAATTGTCTATTCGTCGAGCTCATTCTTTTCAAAAATTTTAAACAAAGCTCAAGGTCGAGCTCCTTTTTTTCAACTTCTATACATGGTAAGGGTCAAGCCCTTACTTTAGAAATTTTCAACACAGCTCCAAGTTGAGCTCCTTCAATTCATATCTTGAAAAGCTTAGGTCAAGCTCTTTCACTTGAAGTCTTTGACAAGCTCCAGGTCGAGCTCTTTAATTTTAAAATTTTAACAAAGCTCAAGCTCAAGCCCTTCTTTTTAAATTTTAAACAAAGTAGGGATCCATCCCTTACCTTAAAACTTATTCGAGGTCGAGCTCATTCATTTTAAATTTTGGTAAAGCTCGAGGTCGAGCTCATTCATGCC